AATGATATTTGAATCGTTGTTGTCATTAATTGATGAGAATGGTGATAACATTATGATGAGAACGAATGGAAGAGTTTTGCATAAATGCGAATATATTTTTACGTATTTTATATAGTATTAATTATAAAGGAATTATAAGAAGATTATTTGAAAATATCACCTTTTCTTTGGATACTCTTTCACAATTAAATGTTTCTAATGGTAATAGAAGTACTGTGAGATTTACTAAAACAATAAAAAGATTGCTTTCCTATTTCAGTGTTTTTTGCATTTACAACAGAAGACGAAATTGTTGATATTTGAACCTGCCTTGCAAGCTTTTTGTTGATGCAGTGATTCATGCAAATGTGATAAGAGAGTTTGGAATAAATGGAAGAGATTTTTAATGTCACATGTCAGCTGTAATGCGAATGATACGAGCTGAGAAACGTTATAAAAAGATAAATATTTAAAAGCCGTTCTTTCATAGTAATTAGAATTTTTTTTCTCCATTTTTAATCTTTGTGAGAAAACAGTTTTTCAATATTCATCTTTTAGTATTGTTTCTGAACTCGTATCGCTCGGATTCTGAATTATGTATGAGATTAAAAAACTTTCCATCTATTCAGATCTCTCTTGTTACAATCACGTCAATTGAGGTATCTTTATGTAATAAAAATAAGGGATTTTTCTGGTAAAGAGAGTTCCAAGAGATGAATACTTCTTACAAACTGTTTCAAACATATTATCATGTAGATGTAATTGAGACAAAAAATCTCAACTATAATTCGTTTCTGTTTATTTTTTCTTAAACATTTATTAAATATCGTATAGCTGAAGTAATTGTTGAGATCAAAATCATTAGTTCTCAATTACGTTTCATCAAAGAGTGCTGTTAGAAGCATTTCTGATACTGTCGAAATCATAAAAGTATATAAGAAGGTAAATATTGCTGAAGAAATCGATTTAGAATACGCAGGAGTTTCTGGAGACATATTTTTAGTTTGCAAAAGTATAGAATATTTTCATGACTTCAATTATTTCCTGAATAATTGCTACAAAAGGTCAAAGAACTAAGTTTGATTACAGTTTTCGAAACATAATGCTCGACGATTTTCAAAAACAGTCTTTAGAATCGGAATCTTCGACTCTAAAATAAATTCATTTTTAAGCAACCCAGTTAAAAAATGCACTTTTAAGTTTTGCATACAGGTGCAGCGTAATAATTGGTGTACCTGTCTTCTAATTCAAAGATATGTTAAATACCGTGACCAGTGGAATTTACCTTTGGAAAACGAAATAAGTGAGATTCTGAACTAAAAATTACTAGGACAGTGTGAGCAAAAAGTAGTACGATGAAAAAGAAAATAATAAAAGGTAGTATCACGGCATAAGCGATAAATGGTGACATGAGAATATAATTGATAAAAAACATTATGACAGTAGTATTGGCAAACACTATTTGACACTGTAAGTAATAAAAAATAATACGAGAGAACAAATCATAAAACGTAGTATGGGAAAGAAAGGGTTAATAAATTCTATCATAGAATCGAATTGGTATATTTTACATTGGTAGCTTAAGAGTTTCCAGCATTTAGAAACACCTATTCGGAAATCCTTCAAATGTTTTCGATTTTGTCACTCTGCGAAACCTCTGAAAAGGTTTCGAAGTTGTTTATTCTCTCAAGAAGTACTACGAAATGTTTTGTAGTAAGCTTGATTAACCAATCACTTTCAAACATGAGATCTTTATGGAAATTTCAAGATCAATAGAAACTTACTGGTAAGATTGAGAACTATAAAAAAAACGAATATAGGTGTGGCATTCTGAAAACATATTATCTTTGAAAGCTATCAAATAGTAAAGCATTCCGATAGTCTTTGACAATTTCTGAGCAGATGTTTCCGAATGCTGAAAGCAGTTAAACTACCCATGTAAAACAGATGAGCTGAAAAATGTAGAAGAAAAAGAAAAACCTTGCTTTTACTGTCACAGTACTTTTTCTTTCTTACTTTCCTATATTACTCCTTATTTATTACACTCAAAATGATTTATATTCTTTGCAGTCCTATTTTACTTTTTATAACATGTTTTCTCATGCTATCTGTCATTGCTTACGCTATATTCATTTACTTCTTCCTGTTATTTTTTGTTTTTCTTCCAAGTGTTCGAATTCGAAAACAAACATGCAAAGCACTAGACCTTATCAGCTTTACATAGCTGACATTTCAAATAACCTGTGCAACAAATGCTATAAGTTTTTCTTAAAATTTCTGATAAAGAAGCTCGACTCTAAACAACTTTAAAGTCGATGTTTAACAGGAAAGCAAAAGATTTTGATCAAACGTAGATTTTTGATTTTTTATGATAATGATTTTGGATCTGATCGAACCTTAAAAAACGTCACTGATATCGGAAACGTTTCGACAATGAAAAATGTAAATTCAAAGACAGTTTTGAATTTTAAAACCAATTTTTTCGGCAGTACTAGTTTTCTTATATTCTTATCCAATGCCGTCAATAATGAACTGGTTTTCGACAGTATCAGAAAAACTTTAAGAAATATCTCTTTATTTGGTGGATTTCATGTTGAATTCACGATTGTTTATTATTTCTTTGAAGTTTGCCGGTCTGAAAATATGTGTAACATCTTTTGAAGTCGGTCTTTTTTTGAACTAAAATTAATTGGTAGTATTATTACATGAAAAGCCTATAAAGTTTCTTTATTTTTTACATGTAAGTCTAATAGTATCCATGTTTTGAATGAACTCCATTTAACTAAGACCATAAACTTACTACGAAAAAGCCCTGTGGCCGTATAAAACATTGAAGGCGCTTCAAATGACAGTGATCAATAGTGTAGTGGAAAAGATAGCTCTCTATCCAGACATAATTCTATGTAAATTATCTTTTATGATGTGTGAATTTTAAAGTACTGTGCCGGACAGAATTCAATCGGGCGAAGAGTCGGCCAGTATATTATAACTTTCATGTTAGATATCAGCCAGATAGGTACTGACAGAACAAAAAGGACACGGTAAAATTACCTTCTTTACATATGTTTCGACAAAAAGCCTCAGGGAATAGAAAGCGCATAGAGGCATACATCCAAATGACTAACATTTATATTTTGAGCTTACATGCCGCTTCGACATGTTTCTCTTTTCGGAACTAAAAAGAGAGAGAGACAATAAAGAGCATACTGCGTAAATGCAAAATAGATAACCGATTTTGTCTGCTTTTTTTTACCAACATTGCTTTGCAAAATAATATCTGTCATACTTCGTCCTCTGATATAATCCATACACTCTTGTCAGATGCTGTTATTCTCATGTCAGCATGCTCAGAGAGAGGGAGAGAGAATGAGTAATATTTTCAACTTTTTCCAATAATCGGAGTTATCGATAAAATGTGTGATTCAGCGAAATATTGATAAACAAGTGTACTTACATGGATTTTTCTCTGACTCAGTAGAATCAAAATTACTCACAGAACATTCTGATTGACCCTGATGGTCGAAAATTCTTGAAGGAAAAGTGAATTTCATGATTCCCGATACTACTGAAAAAATCTACCAGAACTCTAAAATTCGTAGGAAATCTCGCTTTTAGCTTCAAGAGGAGGTTTCAGTTAAAAACGGGTGATTAAGGTTAATTCTGATGGTGAATCTTCAAATCAGAGACGCAAGAGCAAAATCGTAAGTTTTTGACGCTATAAAACAATGAAAAATTTTCCGACATTACTCAATTCTCAAGGTCTCGACTATTTCTAGGGATATTCTTTAACAATTCAGACTGCAATAGAACGTGTTATTGAAACTGTAAATCTCGAAAAATATCCTATTTTTATCGTTTGTACATGAGCATTGAACCGTTGACTCCGATATTGGATTTCTTATTGCAACTCTTATATTACTCTCGAGTTTGATATTTTACTATTTGTTTGTTTTTCGACAAATGCGACGGAAATTGATGAGTAATTTTATTCAGCATGCACAATTTTTTTTTTGAACTTCTGTTAAAATTTCTTTCCATTTTTAGAAAAAATTAACAGATTTCGTATAGAATTTCTTGATTTAACAAAAGCAGCAGTCAATATTGAGGTATAGCTGTAATTATAAATCTATGTAAGATTTCATTTAATTTGATTCATTAAACTGTTTTGTTCCTAGATAGTAGACTTGTGAAATGCTTTGATTTTATGTAAAATGACATATTTGTATGGATTTAACATATTTGTTTGAGAGGAAGTTTCGTGAAAGGAATGTATGACGCCTCTTTTGCAAACCTATTTCATAATTACAATTTAAGTACCAAATTTATACATTAAGATGAATTATAAGAATTCTAAAACATTCACGAAAAGATAAAATCAAAGAAATAGCTAATGCTAGCTCGAGAAGTATCTTTCACCGTAAAGTTTTAAATGAAAAATAAAATATATAAAAAAAGATGAAATAAAAGAGTGTGGTTAGGTTAGAAGTATGGATTGGTGAAAAAGATATTCATCCATCGGCATAATTTCTTTGAAATGAAGAGGGTGACGTTTTTAAGAAAGAAGTAAGCATCACTACGGCTTATATAAAACAGTCTGTGTTGAGCAAGAGATTCTGCATGATATCATGTGAAAAATAAATAGTATCGAGGGTGTGACTGTGGGTGGCTGAGTGCTCTAGGCGTGAGTATAAGGGTTATGGAAAAGGACGCTTCTCGCTCACACCCACACCCACACCCACGCCCTCACATTATCTATGTAATATGCCGACTCTGACAAATCATCTTCTGTTGATGATAGATTGAGGTCATTCCTGAAACTAGTCACTTGACTAATGC